AATAATAAATAAAATAATTTCATTTAGTTTAAATGAGGATGACATAAATGAAACGAATTCTGAAGGCAACTTCTCTGTGAAAGATAAATGACTGATTTCTGATATGAGATGATATTTTCAAGAAGTGACATTTGATATGATATTAATAAAGATTATATGAAGTAGTATATGTTGAAGCATTAAAATATTAGCAAGTTGAAACACTGTCCATTGAAACATTAAGAATGTTACTCAAAAAACATATGATTTCCTCCATTTTAAGTAGTGTGAGTAGTTTCCAAACACCTTAATTTAATTTATCTGTAAATAAAGATATCTTTTTGTCTGTCCTATAACATAGTAGATCACAAAAAATTAAATAAATTCAGATTATTCTGTGACACACGTTCAGTGAAATGGAAAAAGGGTGGCAACTTGCAATGCCTTTGACGTATTGACAGTACGGTTTGCATAAAATAATTCCGGTGCGCTTTGAGAAATGGCGCCTAATTCCACTTTTTTTTAGGTATTGCACAAATTTTTTTACAAAGCAGTTGGAATTGAGTAAAAATAAGAATAAATAAACAAATTAAATTTCCAATGACTACACAAAGGCAATGATTTTCAAATTATATATTCTGTTTCTCTGTGAATGTGGCATTAAATCATAGACACAACCATTCCGATTTACACGCGACTCCATTAAGAAAGAGCCAGCCATGATTTTGTATCTTCCCAATTGGACTAAAATTGATTGAAATAAATTGCCTTGGTTTATGGTAATTGTGTGCCAATTTTACATTAATTTTTAATTAATTTCATTTTTATAGTTGCGAGTGTTACATTTCATTATAGGAATTCTATTGTATGAAGTGCAAACTGCACTGAAGCATATGCTATGAATCGTAAATGCTTCTCATGAACTGAAATATCTTTTTATCTATTTGTATCTGTAAACGTATCAATATATCGCATAGTGCAATGAAAATTCATCTTCTACACTTTGAATTAATTTGAATGTAATGGGCTAATAAACGTTTTTTTATAAAAAAAAAATTGTTCTTAGAAAATCAATTTACACATCCAAGATCATCCAATTAATAAATTAAACAAAAACATGAAGTTCAAGCTTATATCGTAAAATCTATTAAAAATACTTGTCAATTAATTTAGAAAATTAAAATAAATATATTATATATATACAAATATATGTTGAATATTTGTGTGGTTTAGATAAACCATTTTTGAGGTATTACTTTTTTGACTAAAGGTCATTTTTTTGCCATATGTGTATATTTCAGATCCTCTGTCACAGTAAATATTTATAATTGATCCCACGATTTTTTTTGTCTCTTAGACCAAGCAATCATCTTCAAAAAGTTAACGGGAGCATTGGCTCGAAATATTCAACATATCATACTACTTAATTAAAACTCTATTTGAGAACAAATCCTCAAGTATAATCTAATAATTTTAATGGTCACATAAAAAAATTACACTAAAAAGACTTACCAGATCTACAGATCTACCTCTGTATTCTGTAGATTTACTACATTTTAAATTGTTCGTAGTGATCTATCATAAGGCATAATGATTTTTCATTTTCATAATGAGAAAGAATTGTAAGATTATAACAAAATAAAGTGAGAACTCTCTTCGATGAAATCTGTAGGTTCTGCAAACATGAGGAGGAGACCGTGAAGGACGAAAAAAATTCATAATAGCTACTCAACTAATTTGCTGATGAACTAAAATTCCAAGGAATAGCAAAAATACTATAATTTATTAAAAAGGTAAGACTTGGTTAGTCTGACTAGGACATTGTACTCCAAGTAGGCAGTGCAATATGCCATCTATATAATAATGGGCATATCTGAAGTTATCCAAACTTGTAAGAAAAGTAACAATACAATTTATTTAATTTTATATATAAAATAATATATTGGAATATTAGAATTATATTCCAATAAATGAAAATATATTCATATCTTCTTATAATAAATATATGAAATAATAAGACTATACAAGATCCATCTGATGGATAGTGTAGGATATTAACACGAAATAGAGTCCTATTTATACACATTTAAGAGTAGATGTAGTAGACGAGTAGAAACATGTATGTTTGTCAAAGTTATCTTTATAATTGTATATATATAGTAAATCAGCTAATAACGGAACAATATCAATTTTTATTGTAGTATTGGCTTTATATAAGAAACATATTGTGTACGAACATAAACGATTTTTATATTGTGAACTCTTATATTGTACGCTAAATAAAATATAAGTCACTTCATTTTTTATAATAAAAATGTATAGAATCAATTTGTCAACTATAAATCTAATACAAGTATCTGTTTAAAGCATATTGGTATTTTTTTAAACATAATATACATCATCTCATCTCATCATATTATCACAGTTCGTGATGACCCATTGTTTTTCCGCTAATCATTCCATATTTCTTCATTTTCAATTTGATTTCTTCGGTCTCTAACCCTTAAAGTTCGAATATCATCCATCGCTTTCGTACATCCTTTTCTTCCTACTTTATTGCGGACTTCTTTTTTTTTTTATAGTAGGGCATATAGCCGCAATCTGCTTGCGGTACTACATCATTCGTTAATTTTTTTTATATAAATTTTAATTAAAAAAATTTTTTGTGTTTTTTTTTAATAACAAAATACGTTAGTTTTATTTAATAATAATTTTTTTTTTTGTATTTATTGAGAAATTCAATATTTCGGCCATTTTTAAAACGGGTCCATACCCACTTATTCACTTCACTTATCACATTTAATGAATCTTACCAAATTATTCTGCTCATTTCATATTTCCAGTTGCTTATTATGTTAACAGAGAAGTGTTATGCGCTAGGCAGGTCTATGGGTCCGAAAAGTTTTCTCCACATCGCTTAATTTTTTTTTTTTTTTTTCATTATTGTATTATATGATTATTACTAAAAATCTCTTTCCTATTATTGCTTAAAATAAATTAAAATTATTATAAAAAGTAATAAAATATTTTAATTATTATAAGCATTTTTTTCGTAGGCTGATACCTAATACATTTTATATTTATATGATGATTTCTATGCTGATATCAATACTATTTTTAAGTTGACTTATTTTTGATTCTTTCAAAATATTATACGGTATAGACTCTTTGATTTTGAGCTTATATATTTCTTTTCTTTGGTCTCAAAAAAAAAATAAATATTTTCTTTTTGATCTTTAGCTTTTATTTTACTTCACTTGGATCCTTCGTTTATATATTTTTGCTTTTTGATTCTTAGCTTATATATTCCTTTTTTTTCGTCCAAAGTTATTTAATCCTTCTTTTTGATTCATAGCTTTTATTATACTTTACCTGGATCCTAAGTTTATAAATTTTTGCTTTTTGATTCTTAGCTTATATATTTCTTTTTTTTCTTCCGAAGTGATTTAATTCTTCTTTTTGATCCTTAGCTTTTATATTACTTCACTTAGATCCTTAGTTTATATAGTTTTGGTCTTTGATCTTTGATCTTATATATCTCTATTCCTTGATCCTTAGCTTATATATTCTTAGTCTTTGATCTTTTATCTTATATATCTCTATTCCTTGATCTTTAGCTTATATATTTCTACTTACTGATATTTAGCTTATATATTTCTGCTCTCTGATATTTAGCTCATATATATATCTTCTCTCTGATCCCTAACTTTCATATTTCTTTCTCTTTGTAATTCTTGTTTTTTAAAATAAGTCAAATATGCCAATGGCATGCAATTTGGACCTTCTTATTTCTATTTAATCCTTTAAATGTTGCGTCGGTATTCGGTATTCATTGTATTGTTTAAATGATGGTATATGGAACTGATGTATTTCTAAGTAGAAGCCACATCGAAAGACGTTATGGTTCATAAACTTGGAATATGGTTAAAGCACAATAACGATACAGCGACGGTAATTATAACGTTGTTGTTGTTGCTTGTGTTGTTGTTTGTGTTGTTGCTGCTGCTGCTGTTGATGTCGCTGGTGAAAAACATCTGCTGTTGCTGTTGCTGTTACTGTTGAACTCATTTCATTAAGTTTTGCCGTCTGTTGCGCAGGCGCACAAGTACCTTCTCATTTGTATTTTTCGTCTTGAATTTATTTTTTTTATTTTGAAATATTTTTTGTTTTTTGTGAACTCTACTTGGTACACAATGTTTTCATTTATGTTTCTATGCATTTTTCTTTCAATTTCATGTGTATTTGAAGCATTTTTGTTATTTTATGTATGTGCTGGAACGTTGCATTTCTTGTCTTTTTTAATTTGGTTCAAATGCCGCACATTTCGAAATTCAAAAATATTTCAATTCTTCTACGTCAACAACGTCGTTTTCAGCACTTACTTCCATTCAGTTCTTCAGTTCTTCAGTTCTTTGGCTTACGACTACAACGACTTAAGATCGTTTTCTTCAATGTATGTGCATATATTTTTGACAGGTGGTGCACATTCTCAAAAAAAACCTCAATTTTTTTTCTTCTTACTTCTGCTGCCTGCCTGCCTTGCCTTGGCTGCCTTTCATATTATTATAGTTTTATTTTTTTTGGGAATATTTTTTCTTCAAATGTATTTTTGCCTATTCATAAAAATTTTAATAAGTATTTGGCAGACAACAGTAGCCGTAGCAGCAGCAGCAGCAGCAGCAGTCTGATCTGGTTGGAATTCAAGAGGTTTCACTCATAACTTATGGAAGTAGAGATCCTTAAGCATCCCTAACTGTGTGTTGTACCAAAATAAAGTACATCAATATTTATGCCTTAAAAGTCAGTAAAATTCTGTCTGTCCGTATGCTTAGGTTTGTATGAGGCTGTTTTTTTTAGAAACTATAGTATAGCATAAAACGAGATTTAGCAGCTAAGAAAATTATTGTCTAAAGGACAATGAACTTTATGGAATTTACAGTGTTTTAATATACAATTTAATAAATTTATTGAATATTCTAAAAAATCATTAATTTTTAAAATATGTCTTTATTTCTTTGCAGTAAAAGCCGCACAACCATTCGAAAGAGAACCACAATAAACTTACTTAGTTCGGTGCGTGTCAGCACTTTAATTAATTATATATAGATTTATATATATATAAATACATATGTGGTGAATGTAATATGCTATAATTGCAACAAAATGTGCCTCTACGAAAAATCAAAAACTTATACATATAAAAAATTTGTGAAATATTAACACACAAATTGCATTTAAAATTTAAAAATACTTAGCCAAATCAAACACGCTGAAATATGACAACTGAGTATTCAGCACACCCAGCTTTAGCTTCCGAGCAGTTAAAACGTGCTGAACTGGCGAACAATTGTTCCAATACAGCGCAAACCTATCACAGGCGGCACATATCAGGGTCAAGTGGGAGTAAAAGCTTATTTTCTACGCTAACAGATGCCTTAACAGCAGTAACAAAATCTGCAAGCAAACCCGCCAAAATAACTTCCAACACTTCAAAAACAACAGCCACCATTACTAAAACTAGTGATATAGTAAGTTCTACGAACGATATCAATACAACTGATGAGCCACAGAAGACGCTGCCTGATCGAACTAGTTTTACTGATATCAGTCAGGTACGAGCTGATAACAATGTCATTGGTATTAGTTTTGCAAATTTAGATGATAATGACACCAAAGACTGTGTAGACTGTGCGCCCACAATACCAACAGTCTCAATTGATGAACCAGACCATCTGCAGCATCGTTTTAGTCGAACACCACAACACCAACAAAATAGTCGACAGTATTTTTCTCAGCAGCGACAAAATGATATTGATAAGGAAAAAGATAATTTAAATGAAATAGATGATCGAGATGTTTGCAGTAGTGCTATAATGCAGACACACATCAACGATGGATGTTTAAGCGATTTAAGTAGTATTATAAGTTCACCAGCACCCAGTACAGTATCTTCACCACTTTCTACGCCGACAAGACTTGCGCCACACTTTCAACAAAGTCATCACAATTTTCACAATCATCACAATCAACACAATTATCATAATCACAGCCACAATCAGAATCAAAATCAAAATCAAAATCAATATTGCTGTCAAAAGTCAACAACAGCGGATAATGTTAATGTGGCGGGTATGGGTGGTAACAATACGTTGTCTGGCACATCGTTGTCGCTTCCAACAGCGACGTCACAACACCAACATCAGCACCATCAGCAACAACATAATCATCATCATCACCACCATCAACATCATCATCATCTACATCATGCGCATCATCATCATCAAGCTAAGGCCGCAAGCGGATGTAAAAAACTACAGAAATTTGATCCGCGACTTGGTCCGTCGCCCTATCGTCAGCTCTTGCCGATCGCGTTATGCATATTGTCATTTGCGACCGTTTTCAGCATATTAATTGTTTATATGGATACGACAGGTGAGTTTGTATTTAACTTTTATTTATGTTTTTTTTTATTATAAACATTCTAGTTTATATTTTATACTGTAAGGGATTTATTTATGCCTAAGCAGCACATATTTCCTATTATGTATAATTTTTTTTTCTGATTTGTTTACTAAAATTTGATACCTCTACCATATGTTTCATCTTTCGATAAATATATTTATTTATTTAATTTTTTTTTATTGTTTTTATTGTTTTTATTGTACTTCATACGGGAGAGTTCTACCGGAAATAGGTTGTGTTCATTTAATGGATGTAGGCACACTTTAAAGATTAGTTTACCTACCTTCCTTTCTCAATTTTTTTTCTGGTTAGTAGGAAATCATATAACTGGACATACTACGTGATGATATTAACCCATTAAAATTAATATTTTAAAATAAGTGAAGATTATATTATTATTATTAATATTAATAATATATATATAATATCATAAAAGATAGTTCAAATACAATCGAAAATATATATTTAATTATTTTATTAATGGCAGAATTATAATATGTATTTAAGAACTTTAAAACTTTAGCATTTGAACTAATTTTGTATTCGATAAGATTAGTTTAAAGAAACATATTAGCTATGAGTTCCAATTATATATAATATATACAGTAGATATATAACGGAATAATAGGTAATCTAATTGAACTGCAACTTTTCAGAGAGTTGTATTTTTGGATTTTAACAAATAAACAAAAAAAGTAATTAAATTAAACTGTTTTCCGAATTCATTTCGAATTTTCGATATTTAGCTTTTACAATGATTATGGAACCATTTTTGTTACTTACTTACTGCTCTCCTTCTCTCCTAATAGAGTATAGGGCCTCCATAGATAAATCGACAGATAAGTCGAACGCTGCACTAATGATTTTGTAGAATCTTTATCTATTCACGCTGAAGACCGCAACATTTTAGTATTTCTTAGTGCCAATCTTGGTCTGCTGAAAGTTTATGTCTCATACTGAAAACTTCAGCGTCTTTGGTGTTTGGACTAAGACCACTATAAATTCAAAATGAGGTGTGAGGTGTATCTATCAGCCATTGTTTGTTTGATGCATTATAAAATGTCATTGAAACGTTACTAACGTATTATCGAAAGTTAATTTTTTTAATTACCACTTTTGCCGCATATACTGTTTATCCCCGAATTATCTATAGACAACACAATAGAAGTATGGATACAGTGTTGTCACCATTTTGAAACTTATATTAGTTTAGGATTAAATTTAGTTCAATTGGATGCTCTTGTATATAGTTATATATACTATATATACAACTACATATATATAGTATTATGAAGCTATATAATTTATAGCCCCATATAGTTGTATACGTCCTAAAGATTTATATGGATTGTCGTCTTAAAACCTTGCAAAATAATTTTTTAAATTAAAAAAAATTGGCTTAATAAAAAAATGTAGACAGATTACTATAGATAGGTTAATGATAGGTTATTATATATAATAGATAGGTTATTATATATAATAGATAGGTTATTATATATAATATATAGGTTATTATATATAATAGATAGGTTATTATATATAATATATAGGTTATTATCTATAACAGATTATTATATATAATAGATAGGTTATTATCTATAATAGATAGGTTATTACATATATATAATAGATAGGTTATTATCTATAACAGATTATTATATATAATAGATAGGTTATTATATATAATAGATAGGTCGTTATCTATAATAGATAGGTTATTATATGTAATAGATAGGTTATTATATATAATAGATAGGTTATTATCTATAATAGATAGGTTATTATATATAATAGATAAGTTATTATATATAATAGATAGGTTATTATATATAATATATAGGTTATTATCTATAACAGATTATTATATATAATAGATAGGTTATTATCTATAATAGATATGTTATTATATATAATAGATAGGTTATTATATATAATAGATAGGTTATTATATATAATATATAGGTTATTATCTATAACAGATTATTATATATAATAGATAGGTTATTATCTATAATAGATATGATTATATATAATAGATAGGTTATTATATATAATAGATAGGTTATTATATATAATAGATAGGTTATTATATATATAGATAGAGTATTATATGTAATAGATAGGTTATTATATATAATAGATAGGTTATTATATATAATAGATAGGTTATTATATATAATAGATAGGTTATTATATGTAATAGATAGGTTATTATATTTTTAGGATAATAATACATAGTATTTACATATAATGAAAAACTCTGAACTATGACTTTGACCTTAGCGCCATCATAGTGTCAGACTATGTAGTAGTAGTTTTGTAGTAGTAGTTTTTTGTTTAATATATGGCAATACTAGTAAATGCGTCCATAGTTCTGTACGACTTTCACGTCACAAAGGCATTAGTTAAAATGATTTGCATATCATGAAATATATTATCCATGGTTTGTGTCTACTTTTGTTGCTGTGAAGTACTTTTACGCATATAGATTAATACAACCACAAATGTATCTGCATATGTTTTAATAAAAATAATTTTTCTAAATTTTTTTTAAAGGTATTTAAGATTTTATTAACATTTAAAAATATATATGAAATGTTGTATACTAGATAAAAATATCAATGTGCATTCAATTTATTATATATTATATATTGATATGGTTTTGGCAAAAAGACAACATTTATGGCTTCAAAAATTGTTCATATGTCTGAGAGCTGTCTTCACTATTGTTCCTTATGTTTTTTTTTTTTTTTGGTTTTTGTTTGCAATCTTCCTCTATAAAACTTTTTTTTTGCATGTTCCATTCAAAAAGTTTTGCGCCAGACGCCGTTACGTCTCATGACTCATCCTTGTCGGATGTGAATGAGGCAATTTCCTTAATTCGTTAATCGTTGTTGATGTTGTCGAGCTTTGTACTTTTTCTTACTTTTGCCTTTACATTTTTAAGTATCATGTAGTACCATCCTAGCAGTGGAATCCATTGCATATTGTACACTGCAAAAAAAAGGAATTTTTAATTAAGCATACTAAGACGCAAATTAATGATGTTCAGGTAGGAAGGAATGTAGAGGTAGGAGTTTTGTAGATCTATTGTTAGGTTTGTATTATATGAAAGTTTAAAAAATTTTGTTAATATAAAGTCTTTTAAATATATTTTCTTATAAAATAATTTTTTTTTATATAAAATTTACTTCACAATGTTCAACTTGGCAATCTTGTTCGCAACATAACTGCTTGATTTAAATACATATTCAATAGTTTTATTTAAAATATAATTAATTGTAATCAATTAAACACTGCTTTAAATAAAGGCTTTATAGGTCTTTGGGATATTAGTTGGTTTATAAATTCTTTACATTTTATAGTTTATAGTTGTGTTAACAATTTATAAAATAAAGTAATTAGCTATGAGGTGAATTATAACTATGTGTTTTATTGTATATTTTATATTGGACCCCACAGATTTTCAGGTTTTAAATAAAAGGCTTTGGGACATTAGTTGGTTTATAAGTTCTGAACAGTTTATAGTTGCATCAACAATTTATAAAATAAAGTAATTAGCTATGAGGTAAATTATAACTATGTGTTTTATTGTATATTTTATATTGGACCACATAGATTTTCAGTTATTAAGAAATATATAAAATTCAATTTTATTAAGAAAAAATCCAATAAATTCTCAAGCATAGCGCCATTTTTGTCTTTCATTTATAATTTCGCTTGATTTATTAATATTTTATTTTATGTTTCTGGAATTGTTAGTTACTCCTTTGATGTTTGCTTATTTCACTATATATGTATATACATTTGAGTTAAATTGAGTATTGACTGCTTGCATAAATAAAGTAAACGGGTTGCTTCGTAAATGTTATGTATTCAATTTAGTAAAATGAATGAGGAGGAAGCTTTTCAATGTATGATTAAATTGTATTAGTAATGGATGTCTAACATATTTGTTTTAATTTTTTCATGTATTAGATCAGTGGTTCTCAAAATGTTTTTGACCCAGGACCACTATGATATGTTTGTTGTTAATAGGGACCATCTCTGGTATAAAGTGTAATGAATTGTATAAGTGCGTAGGTACATTATTTAGGCTATAAAATAGATTTATAATTACTTAAACATTTTTTGTGGTTATTTTCTAACAAGTGAGGTCACAGTGGACTACAAGCTATTTTTAACCATCTCACGGACCACCGGTTGGGAAGATGGTTAGATAAAAATGCATAATTGTTTTAGATAAAACGAAATTATTTTAATTTATTTAAAAGTTGCTTTCAAAGCTTATAAAAAAAAGAATTATTTAATCTAATATGATTTGTTATATTGTTTTCCTGTATTTATTTCCATTAACAACTTATATTCATATATTAATTTTTTATTATAATTTACTATTAATTTATTTATAAAATTCATAAAAAATTTTCTCAGTGCAACGTGCCAATTTTAAATTCACTGCAAGTATCTACGATTTTCGCTTACTTCCTTCAATTTTTATTTTATTTTTTAATTTTGATTTTTTAATACACGATGTACTTTTCATTATCTTTTGTATTGCTTTTTTAATATATTTTTTTCTTAGTTTAATTCAGTAAAACTATCTAGTAAAAGTGGTGTTCACTTTTGTGGTAATTCAGTAGATACCAGAGGCAATGCAAAGATATATTAAATGTACTTGATTTACGTGTAATAACTCGGGTTTGTTGAGGAATGCAAATATTTAGTGAGAAGTTTTAAATTGAGCTAAACAGTTTCACGTAATCCATGAATAATTAAGTTATGTGACTTATGAAATGGAAGAGGACCAACTTATCACTGGAAAATGAATACAACGGACGTTACAATTAGCTGGACGCCATTACGACTAGACTGACACGACTGTTAAGACTGACAAGACTGTTAAGAATGCTGTTGACATATTTAATTAATTATAAAATATTTATGCATCTAAATATTTAAGCATTGGG